AGATTAGATCCTATGATTGAGAAGAAGTCGTTTATCTTGTTAGCTGTGTCAGTGGGATGTAGTGGTGTTTTCATTAGGTTTAGTTAGGACAATATTCTTGGTTTTTCTCAGTTTGTGGGTCCCTAGAATCTGAGAGAGTGTTTTCCAGGTCTTTTTTATATCTCCTCTAGTGTCTGTGAATCTGCTGGAGTAGTATAGTTGTTTGGCTTTCTTTATTACTTTGGTGAGAGCTGATGAATAGTGTTTAAGAATATCTTTGTGTATTAAGCCCTGTCTATATTGCTTTTCATATTGGTGTTTCTTGTCAATGGATTTGAGAATGGTGCTGGTTAGCCATGGATAACCAAGCCGTTTGTTTGTGATCTGTTTTGTTTTTATAGGACAATGTTTGTTGTATAGTCTAAGTAATTTGTTAAGAAAAATGTCTGTCCAGTCATCAATACCATTGGCCTTGGAGAATTTTGTAGGCCAATCAACAGTCTCTAGGTCAGCTGTGAACTTCCTTACTGAGGCCTCGTCATGGTGTCTAAATGAGACTTTGTTGTATTCAAGTGGTGGTTTACTAATGTTTGTCAGGAGGAAGGTAGGGTAGTGGTCTGTAGTGCTATCTGTGATTATCCCTGATTTAAGGGGGGCTAGTATATTGGTCCATATGTGGTCTATTATGGTTGCACTTGCCTCAGTGAGCCTGGTTGGTTTAGTTATTGTTGGTATGAGAAGTGTGTTGTTCATATTGTTGATGAAATCAGTTACAGGCTGATCATCTAGTAAGCTAAGGTTGATGTTGAAGTCTCCAGCTAAGAGAAGCTGGTGCTTATTCATTTGTCTGTTTGTTATTAGTGCCTTCAATTTCTCACTGAAATTTGGGATGTTTGTGTGAGGTATCCGGTAAATGGCACCGATTGTTATAGGCGTCTTAAGGTTTTTTACAGTAAAATTAGCAAAAATGTATTCCCCATATTCATCACTAAAGCAAGTGGTGCTAAGACAAGATAATTGGTTAGAGTAATAGATTGCAATACCACCCCCAACTTGGTTTGGTCTGCAGTTGTGAATTGCTGTGTATCCTGGTAGAGGGTAGATATCTATTATGTCCTGCTTAAGCCAGGTATCAGTAAGAATAATGCAGGAGAAGGGTGTCTTTAGTGATTCAAGGAGTGCTAGGAGGTCATCATAGTGTTTGCTTAAGGACCTGATGTTGTAGTTAAGTACTGTTAGACTTTTAGCATTGTTTAGGATAGTGGTGGCTTGTGATGCTGTGTAATAAAGGCAGTTACTTTCCAATAGGTTTTGATTGGGTGTCAGATTATGGAGGTTTAGATCAGGGTCAACGTGATCAATCATCTTCTAGGTTTAAATTATGGTTATTTATATCCTGAGTTGTGTGTTGAGTTCTAGTACTGATATCTGTAGCGGTAGGAAGTTTGGACAAGTATATAGCTAGAGTATTTTGGTCATGTAGGGTATAGTCACTACTACACATAATGAAGTTGATGTTGTCTATGTGTTGTGCTGGAATGAACTAAAGTACAACTAGGTATAAACTAGTAATACAAAAATACAAATTAAAAATAGAGCAAGACTCTCACTTGTAATTGCACTAAGGTCTAATAATGACTTTTGTGGAGTCTATGTTTTGAGCTAGAATGAGCTATAGTACAATAGGTTTAATCTAATAATATAAAAATACAAATTAAAAATAGCACTAGTCTCTCACTAGTAATTGCACTATGGTCTAATATAGTGAATTTGGTATTGACTTTGTATTGAGTTAGAATGAGCTATGGTACAACTGAATTTAATCTAATAATATAAAAATGCAGATTAAAAATAGCACAGTCTCTCACTAGTATTGCACTATGGTCTAATATAGTGAATTTGGTATTGACTATGTATTGAGCTAGAAAGAGCTATAGTACAACTAGATTTAGTCTAATAATATAAAAATACAAATTACAAATAGCACCAGTCTCTCACTAGTAATTGCACTATGGTCTAATATAGTGAATTTGGTATTGACTATGTATTGAGCTAGAATGAGCTAGAGTAAAACTGTGATTAATCTAATAATATAATAAAGGAACAAGACTCTCAATTGTAATTGCACTAAGGTCTTATATAAGTTGTTTACAAGAATTAGAGTATAATTAGATTTAAATTGACAGGATAAAATACACAAATTAACGTAGCAAAAGAATAATAAAACAAATGATAAAAATAAAAATGGCAATGACTTGGTTATAATATGCTAGTAAGATGGTAGACAGGATAATATAAAAGTTGTAGTTGAAAATACTAGTTTAAAAAAGTATGGAATAAAAATGGTCAATAAAAGAAGTTTACAATAAGTTTGATCAATATAGTTTAAAGTAAAATTGGGCAATAATAGGGATTTAGAATAAAATTGGGCAATTGAGTATTTTTTAAAGTGAGGTAGAATTATTGAAGACAAGTTATGGTTAGTTTATAATAAAATAAGATAGAACAGTGATGTGGTAAGTTGTAAAAAAGGAGATAGATTCTGTAGATATTAAACACAATTAAGACCATGAGGTAGAATGGTCGTTGAATACAACAATGACAATCAAAAGTAGTTGGGGTATTAGAATTTTAGGGGGGCACAAATTTATGACAATATAACACTAACGGTGGACTATGGGTATTATCTGCACTTAACTCTGATTCTGTTAGTCCAGCCTCACTTAGGAATGTTTTAAGGTCATGTTCTGTAGAGATGAAGTATCTCTTCCCAGTGGGCTGTTTCCTAACTGCTATTTTTCCATCCCTCACAAAGCACTGGTGGATTTTTTGGGCATAGCGCAATTTTCTTAGCCGATAAAGAAGGTTTTGTCTTGTTTTGGTAAGGCACTCATTGACGTAAACATCAGTTTTCATAGAAATAGATGTTTTTAGTAGGTTGTTTCTTTGTAGGCTAGTTTGGAATTTTAACAGCACTGTTTTTTTACCTGCTTGGTAGCCAATCAGTTTGGAATCCTTTAGGTCATCACTACGTATGTTGAGGCGAAGGTGGTCCTTGATAAGCTGTAGGGTGGTCTCCATGCAAGTCTCTTGGGTGACTGTGGCTGGGAGATGTTTGCTGTTAACTACAACAGCGTCAGATAGCTGCTGTTGGTCATTATGGTCTTGGAAGTTGGTTATGACATTGGCAAGTTGTTGGTCCACCCTTGATCTTTCCTCTGTAATGTTGGTAGTAAGTAGGGTGACTTGGTCTTTTAGAGTGTTGATGGTGTCTAGGGACCGGGTGTGGGTGTTGCTTTGTTGTTCTAGAGTGTCTAGTTTATGTTCTAGAGCAGTGATCTTGTTGAGGTAATCTGCATTGCTAGCCTTTAGTTCCTGCATTTCTTGAGTTAGTTTGGTGATCGTTTGGTTCTGAATCATAAGGAGTTTAGCTATTTCTGGGTCGGTGATCTTCTTGACATCAAATACTGGGAAGGAGTTATCTTGGACTGTAGCGGCGGCCATGTTTGTTGTTGTCTGTCGTGTGTTGTGGTGGTGCCTGTGGGTGATGAGGGTTGTGTCCTGGCTGGCAGTACCACAAGTTTTCCTCGTGTTATTACTGCTCTCACCTTTGATGTTAGGAGTCCTTAGCTGGTTACTGGATCTTCTTTTATTGTTCTGACCCTTGTCCATTGGCTGTGGCTTTGGGTGAATAGTAGGCAATGGGTGAATGTTGTGGAGTATCACTTCAGTGGCAGCGGGGTAGGAGTTGCTAGTACGAGTCCTATTAGTTGGTAAATTTGTGAACTTTTGGGTGATTTCTGCAGTTGCTTTATATCATTCTGGGTATCCACACATGTTAGTGTTATGCAGGTCTTGATTAGGTCATCACTGGGCTGCTGGGAACCTCAGGTAGAAGTAAAAATAGAGGACAAGGTTCCTGTTGCTGCTGCCGCTGCCGCTCAAATCAAGAAGGAGAAAGCTGGTAGGCCCACATGTGAGTGAATGGGTCTGAGTGGTCAGTGTGCACCACACAAAAAAAATCCTGGAGCGCGCAGTGCATAATGAGAAAAAAAAAAACTCCGACCGTTTTTTTTAATTAAAATGCCGACTTTGTGGTCTATTTTCGTATAGTATTTATGGCTGTATTCTCGTTTTCTTGGTCTCCTTTGATAGAATGGAAAACATATTATAGAAAAAGAGATGATTTTGATAGATTTTACTATAAAAAGAACCTGGAAATGGAGCTCAAAGTAGGGGAAATGTTTGATTTTTGCCGATGTTCAAAAGTAAACAAATGACATCATTGTCCAACAAATGTCCAACTAGCCATTCTAATATGCCATCATGAATGGGTTGATGTTATTTATACAGTTATTACAGTATTGGAGTAGCCTGCATAATAGTAAATCTTCTGTTTTTTGTTTGAATAAAAATTCAAAATAGAAAGCAAGAGTAATATCAGAGTGGCCTGGAGACATGACTGATGAACAAAGAAAATGTTATTTTAGAGCCAGGAATGTCTGCATTGTTCATTCTGGACCTTATTTTGAAATTGTCATATTTTTTAATTTTCGTGAAATTGGCCAAATTGCAAATTTCTGACCACGTTATTGGGTAGTTGACATTGGTAAATGGGCAGTTTCTTGTACTCAATCGATAGAAAAACCGGAGTTCTAAAGAAATAGCTATGAGTTTGATCGACTGGAACAATGGAATTAGCCGAAAATAGGGCTCAAAGTGGGCAAAATCGCTGATTTGTAAGTATCGCCAAGGTCGCTAACTTTGCGAGAGTGTAATTCCGTCAGTTTTCCATCAAATTTTGATTTTTTGGTGTCATTACAATCGGGAAAAGATTCTCTATCATTTCATAAGAAAAAATAATTTTTTTTTTTTTAAATTTTACGACACCAGGAGACACCTCAGGATTAGGGGTTGCGACAGTCAAGGGGTTAATACTTCTGGGTGTCAGGAACGGATTAATTGTGTTTACATTATTTGTTTTGGGAAAAATTGATTCGCAAATTGTAGATTTCGTTTATCACTGGCCTGACCTGGCAAAGTGTCGCACGTTTCTGTATGTCTGTGAGGCAGAATGGGTGGGAGTCACAGATGTGGTGTGCGAATCCTCTTGATTGGGGATGCAGGTGTAGGAAAAACCTCTCTTATACTCTCCTTAGTTTCCGAGGAATTTCCTGAACAAGTTCCCCCACGAGCAGAAGAAATAACAATCCCCCCAGATGTGACCCCAGAAAAAGTCCCCACACATATTGTAGATTATTCTGAACGGGAGCAAAGTGTTGATCAGTTACGCTCCGAGATAAATCGATCTGATGTCATATGTGTGGTCTACAGTGTCGAGGATGAGGACACATTAGACAGAGTCACTTGCCATTGGCTACCCTTAATCAGATCAACTTTAGGCCAGCAGCACCATATTCCAGTCATCCTAGTTGGCAATAAAGTTGACCTTGTAGATTATTCTACCATGGAAATTGTATTGCAGACTATGATGGAATATCCAGAAATCGAGACATGCGTTGAATGCTCAGCAAGAACACTCAAGAACATATCTGAAATGTTTTACTATGCTCAGAAAGCAGTACTTCATCCTACAGCACCTTTGTATATTCTAGAGGAGAGAGATTTGACAGAAAAGTGCAAGAAGGCTTTAATAAGAATTTTTAAGATTTGTGATACTGACAATGATGGTCTACTTAATGACCAGGAGCTCAATACTTTCCAGCGACGATGCTTCAATGCACCTCTCAACCCTCAAGCACTAGAAGAGCTGAAGACGGTTGTGCAGCGTAATGTGTCGGACGGTGTTCATGCTGATTCTCTTACTTTACGGGGCTTCCTCTTTCTACATCGCCTATTTATTCAACATGGTCGCCATGAAACAACGTGGACTGTTTTAAGAAAATTTGGTTATAATGACAATCTTCAGCTCTCAAAGGACTACTTATTTCCACCAATTCGAATACCACCTGGCTGCAGCACAGAGCTTAACCATGCTGGCTACTCCTTCCTCACTTCGCTTTTTGAAAAATATGATAATGACAAGGACAGTGCACTAAGCCCACAAGAGCTCATAGATCTCTTCTCTACTTGTCCTGTTATGCCATGGGGTCCTGATGTCCTCAATTCTGTTCACACAAATGAAAAGGGGTGGATTACATTGCAAGGCTATTTAGCTCAGTGGACACTCTGGACTTTACTAGATATTCAGAGAACATTAGAGTACTTTGCATATCTTGGGTATTGTGGATCTGGTGATGACAATCAACTTTCTGCTATCACAGTAACTCGGGAGAAGCGAATTGACCTGCAAAAGAAACAAACCATGCGGAATGTATATCAGTGCCATGTTATTGGACCTCATGACGCTGGCAAAACGACTTTCTGTCAGGGGCTTCTTAGCAGAACTTTAGAGGAAGTGCAAGACATTGCTCCAGATAACGAGACTTGACTTAAGAAATCGTAATGACACGATTGCAAATAAACCATACCCCCGGCCGGGATTGAACCCGCGGTCATAGAGTCTCAAAACTCCTGCCCGTCGCGTTAGCCACTAGACCAGCTAGCCACAATAAGATTCATCCAACTAGGTATATTTCTACACCATAGGAAAGTTAGCACAGGCACCTCTGTGACCACAAATGCAAGTTTTTACAGACGAATCTCCAGCTAGCGTGGCCGTGACGAACTCTAGCTCAAGTCCCTTCACTGCCGTCAACATGACTTAAGAAATCGTAATGACACGATTGCAAATAAACCATACCCCCGGCCGGGATTGAACCCGCGGTCATAGAGTCTCAAAACTCCAGCCCGTCACGTTAGCCACTAGACCAGCTAGCCACAATAAGATTCATCCAACTAGGTATATTTCTACACCATAGGAGAGTTAGCACAGGCACCTCTGTGACCACAGATGCAAGTTTTTACAGACGAATCTCCAGCTAGCGTGGCCGTGACGAACTCTAGCTCAAGTCCTTTCACTGCCGTCAACATGACTCGCGTTAGCCACTAGACCAGCTAGCCACAATAAGATTCATCCAACTATGGTGTAGAGATATACCTAGTTGGATGAATCTTATTGTGGCTAGCTGGTCTAGTGGCTAACGCGACGGGCTGGAGTTTTGAGACTCTATGACCGCGGGTTCAATCCCGGCCGGGGGTATGGTTTATTTGCAATCGTGTCATTACGATTTCTTAAGTCATGTTCTGTGTTCATCAAGAACTGCAAGAAGCCCCTATCACGAGCCTTTTCCATCCTATGGAGAGGGAGCATGGACACGGGGGTCGTCCCTCAGTTACTAAAAACAACAGACATAGCCCCACTCCACAAAGGGGGCAGTAAAGCAACAGCAAAGAACTACAGACCAATAGCACTAACATCCCATATCATAAAAATCTTTGAAAGGGTCCTAAGAAGCAAGATCACCACCCATCTAGAAACCCATCAGTTACACAACCCAGGGCAACATGGGTTTAGAACAGGTCGCTCCTGTCTGTCTCAGCTACGGATCACTACGACAAGGTCCTAAATGCACTAGAAGACAAAAAGAATGCAGATGTAATATATACAGACTTTGCAAAAGCCTTCGACAAGTGTGACACTGGCGTTAATAGCGCACAAAATGCGCGCTAAAGGAATAACAGGAAAAGTCGGTCGATGGATCTATAATTTCCTCACTAACAGAACACAGAGAGTAGTCGTCAACAGAGTAAAGTCCGAGGCAGCTACGGTGAAAAGCTCTGTTCCACAAGGCACTGTACTAGCTCCCATCTTGTTCCTCATCCTCATATCCGACATAGACAAGGATGTACAGCCACAGCACCGTGTCTTCCTTTGCAGATGACACCCGAATCTGCATGACAGTGTCTTCCATTGCAGACACTGCAAGGCTCCAGGCGGACATCAACCAAATCTTTCAGTGGGCTGCAGAAAACAATATGAAGTTCAACGATGGAAATTTCAATTACTCAGATATGGTAAACATGAGGAAATTAAATCTTCATCAGAGTACAAAACAAATTCTGGCCACGAAATAGAGCGAAACACCAACGTCAAAGACCTGGGAGTGGTTATGTCGGAGGATCTACCTTCAAGACCATAACATTGTTTCAATGCATCTGCTAGAAAAATGACAGGTGGATAATGAGAACCTTCAAAACTGGGGACCCAACCCATGATGACACTCTTCAGGTCACTTTTTCTATTGGGCTGGAATATTGCTGCCTTAACAGCACCTTTCAAGGCGGGTGAAATTCCCCGACCTAAAAAAATTACAGAGAATTTCACGGCGCGCATAAGGAGATAAAACACTCATTACTGGAGGCTTGGGGTTTTTAACCTGTATTCCCTGGAACGCAGGGGGGAGAGAACATGATTATATAACCTGGAAAATCCCGAGGGACTAGTACCGAAATTGCACACGAAAACACTCACTACGAAAGCAAAAGACTTGGGGAAAACGGGACCATCCCCCCCAAGAAAAGCAGGGGTGTCACTAGCACGTTTAAAAGGGGCCATACAAAAAGTGTCGGGGCCCGAGTGTTCAAAACTCCAGCACCATAAGGGGGGTTACCAAAAAGACCCCTGGCAGGGGCTTAAGTGGCACTGGACAAACACCCAAAGTCTTCCTACGCCGGGGTGTGGTCGTACGTTGGTTTGCGTGCAGCCAGCAGCAACAGCCTGGTTGATCAGGCGCTGATCCACCAGGAGGCCTGGTCACAGACCGGGCCGCGGGGGCGTTGACCCCCGAAACTCTCTCCAGGTAAACTCCAGACGGCAGTGAAGGGACTTGAGCTAGAGTTCGTCACGGCCACGCTAGCTGGAGATTCGTCTGTAAAAGCTTGCATTTGTGGTCACAGAGGTGCCTGTGCTAACTTTCCTATGGTGTAGAAATTATACCTAGTTGGATGAATCTTATTGTGGCTAGCTGGTCTAGTGGCTAACGCGACGGGCTGGAGTTTTGAGACTCTATGACCGCGGGTTCAATCCCGGCCAGGGGTATGGTTTATTTGCAATCGTGTCATTACGATTTCTTAAGTCATGTTGACGGCAGTGAAGGGACTTGAGCTAGAGTTCGTCACGGCCACGCTAGCTGGAGATTCGTCTGTAAAAACTTGCATTTGTGGTCACAGAGGTGCCTGTGCTAACTTTCCTATGGTGTAGAAATATACCTAGTTGGATGAATCTTATTGTGGCTAGCTGGTCTAGTGGCTAACGCGACGGGCTGGAGTTTTGAGACTCTATGACCGCGGGTTCAATCCCGGCCGGGGGTATGGTTTGATTGCTCCAGATAGATTGTCTCGACACACCATCAGCACATTACAAGTTTATGGTCAAGAAAAGTATCTTATTTTGCATGATATTGATGTCCACAACATAACTGATGCCCTCATGCCCAATGAAGTCCAGTGTGATGTAGCATGCTTGGTGTATGATGTGTCAAATCCTAAGTCATTTGAATATGTTGCTAGAATATATTTGAAATACTTTAGTGAAACGTCCATCCCAGTATTGTTTGTTGCCAATAAAAGTGACATGTCTGCAGTACGTCAAGATTATATTCACCAGCCAGTCTCGTTTTGTCACAAGCACAAGATCCCTCCACCACACACATTTTCTTCTGCAGTTCAGCCTAAGAAAGACATTTACACTAAGTTAGCAACAATGGCAGCATATCCGCACTTGAAGCAGCTAGGTGTGGTTGTAGGTGAACATAGTACCTGGCTGAAAGTTGGCTTGGGTGTGGCTGCCATTGCTGCCTTTGCTCTCCTCTTGGCTAGAGCCTTTCATTCTGCAAATAGATAGTCAATCAAGGCAGTAAATTTTGTCCTTAGCTCTTTGCTGCCTGATCCAGGAACAGACCATACGAAGTGGATAGGGGTACATTTTTTTTTGTTGTGCAGCTGTGCTAGCTGGTGTGTAGAATAAATCACAATACCATGGTTGTAACATTTCACAACTGTGGAAACCGACAAATTGGAGATGAAAATTGAACAGTGTTTCTAGCCATCCTGGACCATTATTATTGTTTTTGAATTACATTCACAAAAAAAGTGCTAGATTATTTGGGCCACTTTGTGCTCACAACTTTATAATGGTCCACAAGAGAGAATTATTATAATCAAATAAAGCCTAAACCGCCGAGGGTCACGCAATGCTGCGAAGCAGAAAATAGTGCGGGGGCTATAAACAGCTAGGTGGAGTGGGAATCAGAGGTGAGGGGAGAAAAGGGCTGGAAGAGATGCTAAGCACCGTGTGTCAAAGTTCTTATAGTAAAGCAGTTGCTGACAAAAAGTCGAAGTGATTGTAAGTCCAGGGCAGGTCTGTCTGCAAGAAGGGAAGATAAGGTAAGAGCAGCTAAAAGCATGCATTATCTTGGCTTTCTTTATATCTTTGGAGGCTGACTGCAGCCACAGCTGCACTTTAATTTCTCGACATTGGCCTGCACTACCTGACTGCAAAGCTTCTCAATTTTTTTTTATCAGCCTCAAAAATCATGAGCTCAAGATCCTTGATGTGCATCACTAGGGTAGAGCTCTCCATCTTCACCCCTCATGCTGGTGAGGGGCTCTTGATCTAGGGAATTGGATCTGTGCTCCAGTTCCCTGAATTGAGCCTGAATACCTTTCATTCCCCCCAATGTATGCTATATAATCCTATGGGTTTAGCACTCCCCCATGGTATACATCTCCATCTTCAGGTTCTCCAGCTTACCCTCCAGGCTGATCTTGGTATCTTGAGTCTCTTTCAGCTGAGACTGCATCTTCATTATATGTTCCAGTTCTTTTTCCTCGCAGATTTGTTTTTCAGCACTTTCCAGTTTCAGTTGAAGAATTTTCTTTTTAGATTTCTGGATCTTGGTGAACATCTGACATTCAGCTTCCTTATTGTCTGTCTCTGTCTGAATACTGGCAATGTTTTCAGAGTAGTCATTTAATTTATAGTAAAATTCTGCAATTGTGGCTCTGGTGGCCTGGTGGTTAACGCTCTCGCTTCACACGGTGAGGGCCTGGGTTCGATTCCCAGCCAGAGTAGAAACATTGGACGTGTTTCTTTCCACCTGTTGTCTATGTTCCCCATCAGTAAAATGGGTACCTGGGTGTTAGTCGACTGGTGTGGGTCGCATCCTGGGACACTGACCTAAGGAGGCCTGGTCACAGACCTGGCCGCAGGGGCGTTGACCCCCGGAACTCTCTCCAGATAAACTCCAGATAGTAGCAACTCCAGGAACGGATTAGCTACGAAAAATGAGGGACCACTGTATACACTCTAAATTGAATAAAATACATGTATATCATTCATGTGGTGGTATGTTCGGTGTCGGCAGTGGACGAGTTTGTCTGGAGACCAGGCAAAATACTTTTATTTTTATTTATTTATTTATTTATTAATTTGAACATGATACAGTGAAGTACAAAAGAATACAGTTAAATGCAGCATGCCAAAGCCACTTGAATGCATAGCATTATTTAGCTAATATCATATATTCAGCTTATTTATATATCACAGTTCATCTTATATGACATAACAAACAATATGAATAACATAGAAACATGATATATACTCTAGAATGAATAAAATGTCATTCATGTAGTGGTATGGGCGTATGTCGGCGGTGGACGAGAGTTTGTCTGGAGACCGGGCAAAATACTTTATGTTGATAAATTAGACACATGTGCAACTCTTGGGTATCTTTATTGAGGAAACGTTTCGCCACACAGTGGCTTCATCAGTCCATACGTAGGAGAAACTTGAAGAACAGGAGGAGAATGAGGTAATCAGTCCCTCAACCTTGAGTCGATGTGTTCAGTCCATCAATCTTGAATAGAATACGGCATATCAGCGGAGAAGCAGCTTATAAACCGTATGGCAGGAGAGGTGCAGCAGTCATAGGTCATGTCACATTTGTTCAATGTGGAAGTAGGTCGTGCCCAAGAATTAGGCAAGCGAAGAATTCCTAAGTATTAAGATCCCAAGAAGTTGCAGTGTCTGACAGATTTGTAGATGAATGGTTCAGAGAACCAACATGTTGATAAATTAGACACATGTGCAACTCTTGGGTATCTTTATTGAGGAAACGTTTCGCCACACAGTGGCTTCATCAGTCCATACGTAGGAGAAACTTGAAGAACAGGATTGATGGACTGAACACATTGACTCAAGGTTGAGGGACTGATTACCTCATTCTCCTCCTGTTCTTCAAGTTTCTCCTACGTATGGACTGATGAAGCCACTGTGTGGCGAAACGTTTCCTCAATAAAGATACCCAAGAGTTGCACATGTGTCTAATTTATCAACATGTCGGTTCTCTGAACCATTCATCTACAAAAAAAATACTTTATGAATAATTTTGCTAATATCATCTATACGGCTTATTTATATATCACAGTTCATCTAATATGACACAACAAACAATAAAAATAGCATAGAAACATGATATATACTCTAGAATGAATAAATATGTCATTATGTAACAGGTGGAGGCAGCCACAACCGCTCCATCTTTGTTGTGGTAAACACTGCCATCTAGTGACAGCCTTTTGAAGCTGTCTATTATAATTGTTATATGTAGTACATTATTATTATATATGTATTATTATTATACATATTATATTATTATTATTATTGTATTATATTATTTACTATTATTATTATATATATGTATTATTATTATACATATTATTATTATTATTATTATTATTATTATTATTATTATTATATAAATAATTTGTAATTTTTAATCACACATATATGAGCTTTACTTTTATTCCTTATTGCAATAATTGTATAAATAATGTCAACCCGTTAACGACTGCATATTGGAATGGACAATGACGTCATTTGTTTACTCTGAAACAGCCAAGCAATTGACCATTTCTCCTAGGTTGAGCACTATTTCAAGATACTTTTTGTCGTGAAAGCAATTAAAAATCATATCTTTTTCTGTAATATATCCTCCATTCTTTCAAATGAGACCAAACAAACGAGAATACAACTATAAAAACCATTCAAAATTACCACTAAGGGGTGGCTAATTGCTGAGAAGTGAACTCCATTATTTATGCTTAGATTTCTTTCATTTTTGGTGTACTTTAAGAAGCATCTTTCCATCATACATTGCCCAAGTTTCAATAAGATAGTCCAACAAACAAATGAGATACAATTCCCTAGATCAAGAGCAAGAAGCCCCTCACCAGTGTCAAGGGACCTGGCTTGAGGTCTGCTCGCTTGTGGAAATTTTGCTCGCGTATGGAAGCAAAAAATTGACCCATCGACTGCTCCTATTTGGAAAAACTCGCACGTGGACACGCTCGCAAGTAGAGGTTCCACTGTATTTTGCCAAGGAGAGGAGTTGGAAATGAATGGTTGTCCAGGGCAATTGGTGTCAATTGCTGGCTGGACAAATATTGTAAGAAAAATGTGGTAACACTCATTGACAACTGGGACCTCTTCTATGGCAGAAATGACATGTATGCCAGGGATAGGGTTCACTTATCTAGGTTTGGGGCGGGATCACTGGCCAACGCAGTGGAGAGAGCTGTTGGGTCTTTAAACTAGGAATAGTTAGTGGTATGGGTTTTGGTGGTAAAACAGTGAAGTCCCAGTGTAGTAACATAAGTACTAGGAGAACTAGTAATAGGCAAAATGAGATGGATATTGGAAAGCCAGTGGCACTAGGTGACAAAGACAGTAATAGGTTTAGTAGAATAACAGAAAGAACCTAGAAGCGGCAGCGGCAGCGGCAGCAACGGTATCCTGCCAGCTCTTCTTTCTCAAAAAAACATCGCTCAACAAAACTTGTGATGGCCTAAAGTGAAAGTTCAACTACATGAACCCACGTAGACCACAACATGACCCAAGAATACTAAGAATGTAACCCAAATCTTGACAAAATTAGAAGATCTAAGGAAGACAGCCCTGCTAACCCAAACACTGCCTCCGCTGCCAGACAATCACTTAACCCAAGCTCCGAGAAAACAAGCCTTCTCCTCCATTGCTACACAGTATCTTATTCAGGATACTATGAAGGATATGCAGAAGATCAACACGTAATAAAAGAAAACAGCAAGGACCCTAAAAAGTAATTTGTTACCCAGCGGGAGCCAGTGTATCATAAACCCCCTCTCTCCGCCGCCACCCGGAAACAACAACAAAACAAAACAAACAGGGTGCCCCCCTCCAACTCACCCCCTTCAAAGGATTAAACCCATGAAACTCGGGTATGATTATTCCTGCCCCAAAATCAAGGAACATGTTGCTTAGAAAATGAAATCAAAGATATAAAAAGAAACCTGAGCGACGAGAAAAAGAAAACCAACCCTCGGAATAAGACCCAAAAACCTGAAGAAAAGATTACAGGGAAGTGTGACCAAAAATATTTTTTCTAAAAGCAGCTATCCCGTCACATGGAAAATAACAACAAAAAAATATAAGGTTGAAAAGAACAAACAAGGACTGGAATCGAAAATGCACACTCGACTAAATAATACCCTTTATTTCAAGCGACAAAACTGAAAAAGATAAGTTTTGATGCAGTTATAAAAAACATCACAATTCCTAGGACATAAAAACAAGCTCAGTGCAAAGAAAATGCTTAAAGGGTAATACAGGACCCCGTAAAGATCGGCAAAACAATGAAATCAAAGAAAAAACGTTTGCTAGGAAAACAGGAAGTTAAAAACGTATAAAATCCGACTTATTTAAAAAATAAAAGAAAGGACTTAATTAAATCAGCAATTACAATGAAAAATGGAGTGTACATAAATGAGTGTCAACAAAAAAAAATCAAAACTTCTGTTCGGCTGAGAAAACTTAAAAAAAACCAAAAAAACATCGTGTTTCACGCGAGTGGGGAAAATATAGTAAGGAAAACAAACAGGGAAAAATATACTTCTCAAAGAACACGATTTCTTATTCCCTTAAAAAAAATGAATTTTTTTTAACAGATTTGTAATGCCCTTAATTAATTACGTGTGGTGCATTAGTGTACGTTACTATTATATTGTACATTATTATTTTTATTATTTTTCATCATAGCTAATGAAATACCTCCAAAACAATTGTTTTTTAGTCACTTTTTATTGGTTGCAATTTGTGATTTCCAATTCTTTTTTGCAATACCAAAACATCTTTTTCTAGTTTTACCAAAATATTTTTTTTATTTTATGTGCAATAAATGCTCAATTTATTTAATATTACAAATAGATCTTATCCC